ATATTGTATACCTAAAATGTACCAATGATTAGAATGAATAATTGATAATGCAAAATAGGAAGAAAAGGTCCAAAGGGGTAGGGATAGTGGGAGGGGCAGGGGAAAGGAAAGAAGGGAAAGAAAAAATGATGAGAAATGGAAAAAATGGAAATAAAGTCTGTGTAAATAGGGAAGGGTGGAGGGGGTGAAGGGAGAGGTAGGAATGGGGAAAAATTAAGAACCAAGATGCATCATTTAAAGGTACTGTTCCTAATGAGAAATGTAATTGTGTTGTATACCTAAAATGCACCAATAAAAGAATTTAAAAAAAAGGAAATTTAAACTAAAACAATAATGAAATATCATTTTTGCCTCTCTCGCAAAATTTTAAAATGTACTATACTATATTATTAAATTTATATAAATGCTAATATATTTAAACTGATACAAGCTTTGGGGGGAAATTTGGTAGTATTTTTCAGACTGTCTATTCCCTATGATCTAGGATAATAGGGTACAGAAAATATCAGTGAAAATGCATAATCATATATGTCAACTATTTAAAATGCAATATTGTTTAACCTTCCATCAAAGGAAATGATTAAATTATAGGTTGGAGTACTATGCTGTCGTTAAAAAGAATTATTTTGCTGACATGAAAGGCAGTCTAGTATAAATTAAGTGGAAATTAAGTTACAGTATAGCATAAACCCATTTGCATTTTTGAACCCAGTTTAAAAAATAAAAACAAAAGAGCTTCTCAATTCAAAACTTTATAGTTATATTTACCTCTAATCTGTATGTCCATGAGGTATAGATACAGGAAAAATCTGAATGAGATGCACCCCAAATTATTAGTAGAGTTTATCACTGAGTAGTGCAATTGGGTATAAAGAGGTTCAATTTTCACTTCTTCTTTATGTACTTCTGTGTTGGAATTTGCCATACGATTATCCATAGCATGCATTTTCATAATTTAAAAAATAAATTTTTAAGTGAAAAGTAAAATAATGTTTCTGCAACAAAATAAGTTTTTAAAATTATTTTTTGTATATTCCCTCATTTCCTGTGATGGTTAATTCCATGTGTCAACTTGGCTAGGTACCCAGGTATTTGATCCAACATTATTGTAGCTGTTTCTTGAAGATGTGCTCTAGATGAGATTAACATTTAAATCAGTAAACCCTGAGTAAAGCAGATGGCCCTCCATAATGTGGGCAGCAGTTGAAGACCTTGATAGAATTAAAAAAAAAAAAAGACTGATCTTCCCTGAGCAAGAAGAAATGCTCCCCACCACGGCCTGTGTCCTTGAGGCGCAACTGTTCCTGGGGTCTCTGGTCTCCCAGGCTACTCTGCAAGATTCAGACTTGAAGCCTCGCAACTGCGTGACCAGCTTCCTTCAGATAACTCTCCCTCTCCCTCATATATATGTGTGCACACATATGCATGCAGATACAGAGCCACAGGCACACACATGAACACACGCATGCACACACACACACACCCATCGCGCATGGCACTGGCGGTCTGTCCCTCAATTCCTGCCTACCGCACCCCCGACCACCCAGAGGTCACAGGTGCAGTTGCTGGGCGTGTGCATGGCCTGGACACTTGGACACTGCCTCTCACTGCAAGGCTGTGTCTCTGGGCAGAGGACCCTACCTCTTAACACTCTATGTGTCTTCTGTGGACCTGCCTTCCTGGGATGGTGCAAGGGCTAAGAGAGATAAGAGGCCAGACACATGCCCCTGTCCTGCTAATGACACACACTGCCAACAGGAGTTACTTTTAGGCTAGTTTGCAACAGAAACCCAGAAAGGGTCACATCAGCAGAGGCCCTGTGGCTGCCAGTCCCATCCGGCTGTGGCCCTCAGCCACCCCAGGTGCCTGGAGCAGGCCAGAGGCTGCACATGTGAGCAGTGAGGGCACAAGACTCACAGGGATGCCGTATCGGGTCCGGTAGAGAGTCCTCATCGCCACACTCGTTCCACACAGACAGCACTCGTCCATGGCGGCTGCAACTTGGCACCCGAGACAGATGAAGCAGAATGTGCCACAGAGACCTGGACACACAGAAGCAGGGACATGAGTCACCGCTGTGCCCGGCAAAGCTAGAAGTCAGGCCAACCCCAGGACTGCCAGCCACATCATGGGTTCTTGTCACCCATGCGGCCACCACGCCATCTCCACTACTTCCCGAGTCACATCAGGAATAACTGTGCCTTAGAGAGCACACACTCTTCTCAGTGGGGCCTCCACTGCTCATCTATTTACTGTCCCCTGGAGCCTGGCTGGGTGTACAGGGAACATAACAGGACAAGGGCTTCAGGGGAGTCTGCTTAGATGCCCAGGGTCACCCACAGAAGTGGCGCCCATGAGGCCCTGAGGAGGACAGGCTACCGCCTGCATTCTGAAGGACAGTCAGGTTTTGAAGGTGGATGGAGTGGAGGACAGCCCCACAGGCTCACTTGGCACAGTGCTGCAAAGGCTGGGTTCCTTCAGTGTGGCCAGAGCTGCACAAGAAACAGGGACGCAGCTGGGGGTAGACCAACTGTGAGTGTCCAGATTCTGTCAAGAATGTCACAAGGAGTCACCAAAGTGCTTTGAGAGAGGGTGACTTGTTCAGATTTACATACAAGTCCATCCCCCATGGAAGCAATTCAGCTTGGGTTGGAACGTACATATTCATTTAACGGGGTAATAAGACCAGGGGTGGGAGAGTCAATGCTAATCTTTAGAGAATTTTACTATAATAGTCTTAATTATCACTTCGATTGCAGATGTTGAACTAATGTCTCCAGAAGGGAAGGTTATGGGCCCATTATCTACTAAGACAGCAGAGAAGATAAACAAACCCCAGGGTTCTATTCCTTAAGTTATTTTTTCATCTTATTCATCTTGATGTAATTATTAACTTGATTCAGTCCAAAGTTCAGTTTCCCTGGTGAGTTAAAAGCTAATGTATTTTCTTTCTTTATCTAAGAATGCTCTGTAGACTTGAGACAGGTGAACAGATTTGGGAGCAAACGTTTTGTGAGTGGACTGGTTTCTTGGTTAGAATTTCAATCAAAGCACCTTGGTCCCCTCTGTCACCCTGTCCCACTTCCAAACTTCCTTTCTTCCAAGTTCACTTAGATGAGCCCTCAGAATGATTCCACTTAGAGAGATCTTCCAAAGAGGGAGAAAAGAAAAGCCAAATCAGAGGTATTTTTTCCCATGACAGCCACTTGCCCTCAGAATTCTTCAGTTTTGATCATGTGGGAAACCTGTGTGTATAAACTGAAGTAGGTCCTCCCTGAGCTCATGCACAAACTGTGGGGGGAATCTTTCTACTGTGTGCCAAACATAATACAACTATAGAGCAACGAGTTTAAAGTATGTGTGACCAAGAACAGTCCTTTTCTAAAACTCGAGTTATTTCTTGCATTAATGAATATTATGAGGCTAGACCTGTTTGTTCTTAGAATCAATTAGCTCTTTCACAGTTAACTCTGACACAATGGACGTGTGTGGTTGGAGAAGCATCAGTGTAGTCAGCTCATGTCCTTTGATGTGAAGCCTGCATACCGAGGCCCAACCTTTAGAAGCCCAGAAAAGGGAGGACCTTTGGCTACAGGAGGAGAGGAAGGACTAGGACACCAGGTCCCTTCCCAGGCTTCTCCCACACTCACACACTCCGCAGTCACTAAAGCAGTCACAAATGCCCGTCTCCCAGTTGGAGTTCTGGGGTGCGCGAACAAATCCAGGTTGAGTCATAACCACCACTGATGACTGGTTCTGCATTGTGGATGCAGTCTTAAGAGCTGTGATCTGAAAAGGAAAATGTTGCCATTAGCGACCTCCTCAAGGTGACTCAGAAAAGGCCATCTTTGAGGCATGCTGCCTTGCTGACAAGGGGGGCGATTTAGATGCAGTTGCTTGTTAATCCAGGAGGACATATTTTTATCTCCTTCCCTCAGCAGATAGAGGCCCCTGGGGATTGCCTTGTTCCTTGTTCCTGCTATTTATAAACAGGGAGCTAGTACCTAGGTGACAGGAAAACAGACCGACTTGTGATAGCGGTTGGAAGTAGTGGAGCGTGGAAAACAGCTCTAAAATTGTGCCATCCTGTACCCATCCACCTTTCCTCTCTTGTTCCTTTACTGTGCTCCTTCTTGGTTTTGGATGCATCTCTGATCAGCCATCCTCACCACTCTTCCTGCATCCAGGTTGGCCCAGGACTTCAGATTGACTGGGAATTGGATCCTGCAGCTGCTTGTTACAGTGGGCTTGACACACCCATGCTAGGACCAGCCCTGACAGTGGGTTCCAGAAAAGTTTTTACCAAGGTGGCTACTTTTCTTTTCTTCTCTCTCACTCTTTTTTTTTTCCCTCTTTTTGATACTGGGTCTCTAAGTAGCCCAGGCTGGCCTCAAACTTGCAGTCCTCCTGCCTCAACCTTCTATTGTTTCCATAGCACCAAGCTCCATTTCAGGCTCATGGTAATCATCTTGATGAATGAGGCACTTAGGCTGTACTTGACTCCCTTACAATGTGTGAGGAACCAGATGGAATAGGTCGCCACTTAAGAATTTAGCATAGTTTTAAAGAAACAAAGGAAAAATGCTAAAATTAAAAATAATAATGCATCTAGATACTCTGGCAGTGTAACTATATCATTTGCTCTTATTTTCTTTCCCACATAGAGAAAGCAGTCTTAAAAATAGGCAAATTACCCAGGTATGGTGGTGCATACCTGTAACTCCAGCAATCAGGAGGCTGAGGGAGGAGTCTTGTTGGAAGTTTGAGGCCATCCTGGCCTACATAGTGAGTTTGAGGCAATCCTGGATTACAAAGAGAGACCTTGTCTCAAAAAACCCACCCCTCCCCCAGAAAAAAGGCAAATTGCTTCCATTTTTTCATATCATTTTGCATTTTTTTCTATTTCTTGAATGCATTGGTTTCTTTCTGGATCTCATTGAGTGGCAACATCTGCTAGCTTGGTGTTGCCTTGAGGAAGAAGAAGAAGCAAGGGAAGCTGGGAAGGGTCTCCAAAGATGGGCACTGTCTGGCTGTTCCTCTGCACAGCTTCATGTGGGTTTCTCGGGGATGTTTCAAGTGTCTAATGGCCTGGCTGCATCACTGCTGTCCCAGGCAGTCATAGCTGGCTTATAGGTTCTCCTTGGAAAGCCAGCACACAGCTGCAGGCCAAGGGTGCTCAACTAGTCTGGAGGACCATAAACATGGTTTAATTTTTTAAACACAGAAAGAAAAGGCCTAAATTGTTCTCTTAAACATTTGCATCTACGGAATATCATCACTATCAGTAGATTGCTCAAAGGTATTTATCCTCTCATTACTGAGTACAGCATGCAAAAATTATGTTTTTTAAGGACTTAATTAAATGGCACTATATAAATTATACAATGGTAGGAATGTAGTTACAATAAAAAAACAGAAAAGCTGATGTATTTAAAACACTAAAATGAAAGCAATTAAAAGCCACAAGATTAAGAAAATGGTGAGAAGGCAGAAACAGATAATTTCCAAAAGGAGAACTGAAGCTGGGCATGGTGTCACACACTGTAATCTCAGCACTTTGAGAGGCTGAGGCAGGGGGAATTGCAAGTTTGAGTCCTGCCTGGGCAACTGAGTGAAACCCTGTCTTAAAATTAAAAATAAAAAAGGAGCACAGATGTGGCTCAATGAAAAAGTCCTGGATTCAATTTGCTGTACCAAAAACAAAACAAACAAACACCCAAACCAAAACAAACCCTTTGAGGAGTATAATGATTATGTGCTGCAAACATGTACCAATAAAAATAAAAATTAATACAAACAAAAAAAGAAAAAGAGGAAAGATTCTTAAATAAATGAAAAGATGCCTAAACTCACTCAAAACTAAGGAAATGCAAATTCAACACTTGTGAGGCAGAAATGAAAACTTAATGGGACATACAAAACCTTTTTAAGAAAAAAGTTTAGCCAGGCATCGTGGCACATGAATGCAATTCCGGGACTCAGGAAGCTGAACCAAGAGGATCACTACCAAGTCAAGGCCAGCCTGAACAACATGGTGAGACCCTGTCTCAAGAAAAAAAAATCAAAACGCAAAACCAAGAAAAGAAAAAAAGTTTAGACTAAAGTTCTTGTCATATCAAAAAGAGGCTTATTTCCAAAAGAGAAATATAAATATTTTCAAAATGACAGAAAAGTTGAAGATTTCCAAGTGAACACCTGTGTACCTGCTACTTCATTCTGCCTGTCCCTGGCACTAGTTTCAAGGACAGTCTCTGTCTCCCTGGACTGATGGGGCCTCTTGGAGAAGCCCAGCAGTTCCCACAGGGCAGGGATACCAGGAACAGGGGCAGCCAGGCCCTAAGGCACTGCCCTGTCCGGCTAAGAGCAATCAGGCCTAGGCAGCAGTTTCCAGGTTTGTGGGTACTGGGTGGCTGAACTTGTGGACACCAGGACAGTGCAGGGCTCCATGTCCTTCACCTACACGTTGCTCTCCAGGCTTTTCATCATAGCCACAATAACAAGCTGTAAAGGTCAAGTGCTGCCCCACCCCAGCGGAGCCAGTTTGGCAAATGAACTGAACCCCGGCGAAAGGCTGCAGGAAGACCGACTCCCCACAGCAGGTCAGAAGTTGGGCTTGCAGCTGCCTTGGAACTGAGGGGTCGTGGTTCTGGGCATGGAGCCCACCCTGTGGGTCCAGCCGCACAGCATCAGAGGCCAGAGGTGTCAGCTGCAGAACTGGCCACTGCCTTCACCGTTTAAAGCCACACAGCCTTCTGTGGTGAGGTCACTGTGTGATGGCATGGGTGATGGCTTGTTTTTCTAACAGAAGCTAAAATTAGTAGGCTTTGAAGGTAGGAGATGAGAAATAAGATGGTCTCAGTACTCCCCACAAGACACTTAATGTTTTAATAGAAAAAATAGCAATTTACACAGAGAAGTCTGTAGAGGCTTGACCAGGCAGTCACAGCTAATGTGACCAGTGTAGGGACACAGCAGTGTCATGTGCCCATTGGGACTGATGGGCACACCACGTCCATGCTACCCTGGTGAAAGTGCACAGAGTGTCATTGTGAGATGTACTGGACAAGCTCTGCTGAAAGATAGGTGACATTCAATGGTCAGTACACTTCAGAAGCCTCCAGACGAGTGCAGATGGAGGGGGCCTTGCAGACTGAGACACCAGGGAGGTGCAGGTCGTGTGCAGTGTGGGGTACACAGTGACCCCTGGACAGATGAGGGGCTGAGCAGAGTTCAGAGTCTGGGCTCGGGACACCTCAGGGGTAGTGTGTGACTTGCATGTGCGAAGCCCAGTGGGCTCTGTCTGTGCTGAACAGCAGGATGTATTACTTGTTTTTTCTTTTTTTTCAGTACTGAAGATTGAACCCAGGGCCTGGTGCTTGCCAATAACTGTGGTGCCCCAGTGAGAAGGTGTCACAGGGCTCCTTAGAGAATTCAGACTTCGGGTAAATGATTTACAGGATAAGAGTCTGAGGAAGAGGAGGTGCTGTAGGAAAGGGGGGCTATTTTCAGGTCTATTCTCAATAAATCACCTGGGGCTGCCAGGGCGAAGGGCAGGGTCTCTCCCATCGTCTTGGAAGGGGAGATGCTCCATAGTAGATGGGGCTTGCACGATGCTGAGGCTCATCAGGCTTCCAACACTATTGTTTATCTTGATCTTCGCAGTCACAGCTGAGCCTTACCTATGGGTGCTCTGGGACTTTGTTTCTACACAAGAGGGAGCTCTAAGAGCCAGGGCAGCACCAGAGCCTGGCTGGTGGTGCAGAGCCGCTCTGGTCACTGACAGACAGCGGTCAAACCTGAGTGAGCCTCCTGGCTGAGTGATTAATAGATCATGTCTTGGATGGAGGTATGAAGGGGGGGTGAAGGAGGTGTAGCCAGTGGGGTAGGTGATGGGAGTGGAGTAGATGCAGTGGCTGCGGTGAGGTACCTGGGGTGGGTGGAGTTCCTCCTGGCTCTGCCATCTAGGGGCTCAGGATGGGAATGCAGCTCATGCACCCTTGTCACCTTCGTGTTGCCTCCAGCTGGAACCCACTGTCTAAAGCCTATAGGTTCCCAGGGCAGCCAGCACAAGCCCCAGGAGGGTGTCCACAGATGTGCACAATTGGGACAGGGCGCTGGGGCTCAGAAGATGGCCCAGCATCACCAGTGCGTCACCTGTGTCACCAAAGTGTTGCCTGTGTCACCAGCATTTATAAATTCAAGTTTTCAGAGCCAGCATTGGTAACTCAGGGCTGTAATCCCAGCACTCTGGAAGACTGAGGCAGGAATACCTCAAGTTTGAACCCAACCTGGGCAACTTAGGGAGACTGTATGAAAAACTAAAAAGGGTTGGGGATATATCTCCGTTAGAGAAACCTGGGTTTATTCCCAGTACCACACACACACACACACACACTCACACGCACATGCACACTTCAGCAGATGATGTGGGCCTAGCGGCCAGCTGGGCAGGTGGTGCTGTTGCAGGGTCTGAATGAAGCCCAGGGAACCTTCACCCTTGCCACACATACCCCGCAGGATGAGCACAGTGCCCAGTGCTGCCTGGGGCCCCAGCACCGGCGGTGAAGACGAAGCAGTAACTCAGCTTCGCTGCTCACCTGTTTTTTGTTTGTTTGTTTGTTTTAATTTTATTTTATTGGTACATTTTAGGTATACGATATAATGACATTCATCCTGAAAAGCCCACAGGGGTTGAGGCTGTGTCACTGCCAAGAGGACAGAGGCCTTCTCAGGTGCCTGTGCCTGTGAGGGGCCTCCAACACCGAAGCTCTGCTTTCTGCCTGGTGGAAATGGCTCAGCAGAGGCAAGGCTGGGCCTGGAACCCCAGACCTCCAGGTGTCCAGCCCAGGTCCCCGCTGTGCCCAGAGTCCAGGGCTAAGTGAGAAAAACACCTCTTTTGGGGTGATGGTTTCCCACTACGTTTTGGGGTGGGGGGGGAGTTGCATTGCCTTTTAATAATTAAATATCAGAAAAAAATACTGTACTGCAAGGCTGGAGCTGGGTGCTGGCTGTCTTGGGTGACTGGCTGATAGACGTTTTCCACCATATAATTTTCTGTAATGTCTGAGAACATGCAAGGTGGGCATGTGAATCTCAGTGTAGAGCTCTGGCCGTGACTCCAGCTGTCCCTCCTGTGCTCCCTGCTTGGGCCCTGGCCGGCACTGGGCAGATGGTCGGTGGTGGCCTTTCTTTGGCCTCTTTCACAGGAAAAGCGTGTTCCTGTTCATTTTCAGGAAGCTTACGCTGCGGTTTTGATATAACAGTCATTCAGAGATTTCCCAATGAGAACTGGCACACAGCTACCTAACTGTCCTCTCCCTCACCCGCCTGGCCTCACTGGTACCTGGCACACTGGCTCACAGACTCACAGACTGCTGTCCAGCTTCATAGCACAGGCGGGGGACCCCAACATTCTCTGGGTGCCTTCAAGATCCAATCTGTGCTGCATTTGGTTATCACTGCTGGGTTGTGTGCAGGAAAGTATACTTTCCTCCAAGCAGTGGCCTAAGCTGGCCCCAGTCCAACAGTGAGAATTGGCGGTTTCTGTTTCTTTCCCTACTGTTGATTTCTTTGGAATGTGGGAAACTGGGGACCCAAGTGTTTCTAGGAACTGCAGCGCACTGTGGGGTCCCAGGAGCATGTAGGCTGCCAGCAGTTCCCCTCCACTGAAGGTCCCTGGAGGAGAAGGCTGCCCCTAGTCCTGCCCAGGACAGCAGGCTGGAGGGACCTAGCATCCAGCACTGCCATTCTGAAAATGACCTTTAACTTCTCACAAGAGATTTCCTAGAAGGTTTAGATCCCAGAGGAGGAGCTGCAGATGTGGTGCAGTGGTAGGGTGCGTGCCTGCCATGCCAAGGCCCAAGGTTCAAACCCCAGTGCTGCAAAACTTTGAAAGATTAAAAAACCAAACCAAACAAAACTGAGAGGAGAAAGAAAAAGGTTCACTCAGCATACTCTCATGCAGCTCTGTGACCAGTCCAAAATCCTAGGTCTCTTTTAAGTTGCAACAAAATATCAAATAGACACAAATGCAAACTATTCCTAACCACTGCAGCTGCCTGTGCTCCACCCCTAGGTATCCAATAGTCTTTAATCACTCAAGGTAACAGGTCAACAGGAAAAGGAAGGGAACACAACTTTCTGGAACCCTCAGGGCTGGGTGACATTTCTGCTGTGCCTATCACCCGGGCTCAGAGTCCCTTCCCGCTCACTTGGTGTCTGACACAGATTCCTAAACATGGAGTCAGCAGCTGTGATATAGGTGGGGTGGCAGGAACTGGGCAACTGTAAGCAGAACCTGCGGGACACTGCTATGGGAAAAGGTGACAGTAGTGTCCCTTCTGTGTGGTCCCAGCACAGGGAGCACGTGGCGGCTTGGTTAGAGTTAGGAAAAGGTATCCCTTTTCAGATGCAGACCCAGCCACCAGCCCTCAGCCCCCAATGCTGGTCCTCTCGTCTGAGGAGCCCCAGCCTGGGCCATTTCTTTTCTCTTCTGTCACTGATAGCTGTACACACATACGGGGATGCACACACACACAGACATACACACATCCTGAGGCCCCACTGTGTGGGGAGTCTGTGCCCAACTTGGTGAGGGCGCCCTGCCCGTGGCCATCTGTGACCCCACAGGAACAGAGACTGAGGAAGCTGGGGAGCCACTAGGGAAAAGGGAACAGAAGGCAAGAGGGACTGAGTGTGGCCTCACTGTGCCAGCTCTGACAAGTGCCAGGCAGTTTCTCCAGAAGGCTCTTGGCATAGAATGGTCTTGGCTCCAGGGGTCTCGCAGGGTTTGGCCCATTTTAAGCATCTCGATTTTATCCATGAATCTTAGAATCAACCTTATACCTGGCCCCTGCGCCCGGGAATGCCACCCTCATGAGAACAGCCCATGATTTTATTAAAATTAGTATTATTAATATACTATATCGCATTAATCATCTGGATATCAACAAATACTATTAATTTACCCATATACTAGGTACCCAATTCACCCAGATGCTAGATATCTGTTACTTAGATTTTCTCCTCTTGCATACTGTTAGATTTCATTTTTTTGCTTTGACTGAAATATTTCCATCCCATGAGCTCTTAAATTGTAAGTTACCAGATGTGTGCTGTGAAGGGGGGACCTCTGTACATACATATTGGTACCAGAAATTTAATTCTGATACTAGTCTGTTTTTCTTACTTTCACAACAAGAATTCAAGGATTCTTACAATTCATTAGCTAAATATACAAAAATCCCATCTCTTTTTGCTAGATATTTTCAGTCAATAAAATGAAACATTTTCAAAGCACAAAGAAATTAGACCAGCATGCATAAACATGGGTATGTGTTAGGGTAAAAAGCAAGATCAACGATCAAATTAGTAAATACAAAATATTTCTTACTAAAGCAGCATCTAAGGAGGATTTGAGCCTGAGATCTTACCCTGCTTTGAACAGTCTGGCATATACCACAATGCTTACCATGTATTTGTTGAATTTGGTTAAACATTTAAAAGCAGATCAAGAAAACATAGGTCTGAACCTGAAAATATGACACTTTAAGAACGAAGGTGGGAAAATCAAATAACTTTTAGAGAAAACATTTTTTTAAGTGCTAAGAGAAGTTTTGAAAGAAGTTTTAGATTTCAGGGTACTTACACTTGAGAAATAGTTTTGGCGTGGGACCTCGTGTGGAGGGGTGAGGATCCTACTGGAAGTGAGAGGCGGTTACATCAGGCAGGAGAGGTTGGGTCCTCTGCTGCCGAGCTGTGGGCTCTGATTGGCTGCCACCAGGTAGGCAGATCTGACTGCAGGCTGTTCCCTTGCCCCCAGAGAGAGAGCCATGAGGCTGGTCCTGTTCTCACACTGAGGGAAACACACCCCGACATCTTTTGTTTAGGAAGGACAAGATTTGATTATGTAGTTTGATTAGTTTTGCATGTCCCAAAGAGCTTACCGATTTTTAAATTTTACTTTCCTCCTATACTACAACAAATACCACTGCTTGGTGTGTATTTCTTGCTATATTTTGATTGTGGAACTTGCAGAAAGCACTGGGGAGAAAACTGGCTACCTGGGCTCCACACCTGAGCAGACGCCTGCTTTCTTTGTGTCTCTCTGGTTCCCTGACACAGGCTGAATGCGTCTTGTGTGTCAGACTTGGTTCTAAATACTTTTTATTTGTGTCATTTTGGGGAATTTTTCCACAATTCTGTGTGGCATGACTGTCATCCCCCCATTTGCCTGACCAGGAAACTGAGGCTGGGAACTGTTAAGTGGCTGGTGGGTGGCAGCAAGGAATTGGCTGAGTGGGGACTCTGTTTATCTGTGTTACAAACACCACAAACTCTTCCTGTGCAACCTCACATGACAGTCTGGGACAGCGGGGAAGGCTTCCCAGTCCAATAGCCTTACCATGGTGACAGCAATGTTGTCTCTCACTGCTAAAGAAGGAGGTGCTCTGGACTCACCCTGGCCCGGCCAGACCCCAGACCAAGCCAGACACAGCCCTGGGTGCTGAGCTTGTAAAATAGTAAACTCTGAGTCCTGTTTTCTAGAAGTGGAGGTTGAAGTCCCCCTGAGGCAACATGATAAGGAAGAGTTCTCTGGCTTTGGGTCAGGAAAGGAATTTCAAAATGACCATTCTGCTTTTGGTTCCATTTCTACTTTCTTTACCTCTTCTGCCTGTGGAGTCCACTCCTGTGCTCAGCTGTTGGAGCACACAGAATCACAAATAAAGCTGTGATCTTTATATTTGTTGTAATTTTGTTCTTTGGAGATTAAACTAGGAAATCAGAAATTAAAATACTGAGACAAGTGTGGTGGCGTACGCTTGTAATTCCAGCAATCAGGAGTCTGAGGCACTAAGAGTTCCAGGCCAATCTGGGCTACACAGTGAGTTCAAGGCCAGCCGGGACTACACACCAAGACCCTGTCTCAAAAACCAAAAAGAAAAAAACCCCAACTATAAGCAAGCATTTCAAGGGGAGGAAATGCAAATAATACTATAATAATAGTAAGAAAGAGGAGGAGAAGAAAAAGAAGAGAAGTACAAAGAAATTGGACAGGATGGACTGAAAACTGCTGTAGTTTGGATCTGAGCTGACAGGAGATAAAATCCTAGATGACTAATTCGTTGGTTAGGTGACCTCTGAAAACCAACTCAAGAATGTGATAGATCTTTCTTCAAGGGGAAGGGGATCAAGAGGTGGAGGGGAGGAGGGAAAGGATGAAAAGAAAAATTGGGCTGTTCTGTGCAGTACCAACTCCTCCCAGGAATGCATACACTGTGAACTGCAAACATGGACTAATAAAAAAAGAATCTGAGCTGGTTTTCTTCACATCTAAAACTGGGAAAATAAGGCCTATCTGCCAAAGTTATTAAGCGGTCATCAATAATACTTGGTCCAGTTTTTCCTTTTGAAGGTTTCAACTGAACATTCATTGCACATTCGTTGTCAGAAGCTGCCAGGCCCCCTAAATCACAAAGCCTTGCACCCTACAACCTGGCTTTCCCACCACTTTCCAGCTGTGGAAAAACATGTGGAGAGGGTAGCTTTGTGTGGGAAAAGGCGGTAAGAGAGGATGGGGGTGGGGGATAAGTCACACAGAGAGAGCCTGAGGCCAGAAGATGGGTCAGCCTAAAAGTGCACATTTCCCCTAATACCTTTTGCCCTGTTCTCATCACTTCACCCTGTGTTTTGCAGCTCGCTGCTCTCACTTCTTGGCTGTAGTTCAGCTTTTTCCTGCTTACCATGGCCTAACCTTTCTGAGGCAGCAGTTTCACAAAACTCTTCAAAAGAGTAAGAGTCCAACTGATCCAATATTGTTACTCATGGAAATTTATGTTAAGAAAGTACATACTTTCCAAACCTCACATTACTTAAATATTATTTATATCAGCATAAAAATTTAAAAATCAGAGCCATGTGTGGTGACCCATGCCTATAATCCCAGCACTCAGGAGGCTGAGGCAGGAGGATCACAGCTTTGATATCACCTTGGACTACATGGCAAGACTCTCTAAACAACAGTTAGGCATGGTGGCACACACCTGTAATCCCAGCACTTGGGAGGCTGAGCCAGAAGGACTGATGTGAGTTTAAGGCCAGCCTGGGCTACAGAGTGAGTTCAAATCCAGCCAGAAGTACATAGTGCAACCCTGTCTCAAAAAAACCAAACAACAACAGCAACAACAAAACAAAAAATTTAAATTTAAAGGATTAGCAATGGGGAACTGTTGGATAATTTAAATTACATCCATAAGAAGAAATGATTAAGCCATTAAAATATTAAATATTAATATTAAATATTAAAATGCATTAAAATATTTGATAATAAGGTAGACGCCCTGTGCTAATCTAACAGGTAATTTTATGTCCCGGCAACTGAGGGACAACACCCTACTCACTGGGTAAGAAGGATCTGCTTCCGTGTGTCCACTTGCACAGCCAATAAAAAATACTGCTCCAGGGCCAGGGATTTAGGTCAGTGTTTCCAGCGCCTGCCTCGAAAGTGCAAGGTCCTGAGTTTGATCCCCAGTACCAAAAATAAAAAGAAAAATACTGCTGCTATAGCTTCAGGATTTTATCATTTGAATAGAGGCCAGTGTTCTCTCCTGTTTTCACTCAGGAAAAGAACATTTCTTTGAAAATTATTTGAGGAGCTGGGGATGGAGGCGCACACCAGTAATGCCAGCGCTTGGGAGGCTGAGGAAGGAGGATTGCATCAAGTTTGAGGCCATCCTAGGCTACATAGTGAGTTTAAGGCCAGCCTGAATTACATAGCAATATGCTATTTCAAGAAAACAAAAAAACAAAAGAAAAAAAAATTATTTGCAGCTTGAACAAAAATTCTAAGGTACATTCCTCAAGGACTGTTCTGTCATCTTTCTTCAAGATTCAGACAATTCAAAGAGGACTTCCACTTGACCTTGGAGAGATGTCCCTGGTCCTGTGACCTCCTCAAGCAGGACAGTGTTGATGGCGACCCAGGGCAGGAGGGTCACCCAACAGTTACCCTGCAGGCCAGCTCCTTGTGAGATAGGTGATTAGGACAAGGTAAAGCTGGCTTTGGAAGTAGGCATGACCTATTAACTACAAGATCTGAGATACATGTGCAGTTTCCCAAAGCCCTACACTGACCTCTCTCGAGAACTCGAGCAGGTTTTCAGTAGGATGCCCAGACCTGATGTCAACTTGAAGCCTGGGAACCCAGCACCGCCTCTCAGGACCCACATGTAGAAGTTCTCAGGGTTTCCTCGAGATTTAGGTGGCATAAAAGAAAGGCAGCTATGAGGAGCAGGACTGTGTAACTTTCTACAATAGCCTATGGTGCATTTTCCCAGAGGCAGAGTGCACTTTTATCTTTGCTCTTACCCTCTTTTTCTATTTATTTGGCCCAAGCTCACTCTACAGAGCCAGTTTCTCCCCCATTCTTCATTTTTATTTTTTCATATAAACTTTGCCACTGCCTTTTTTGCTCATTTTGTCCAATTCTTTGTTTGAGATGAGAAGAATCTGGAATCCAACTCCAGAGGGAGACCTGAACAACTCTGAACCCGGTAATGTTTAGTTGACAAGCCACTTTTAGAAGGAGATACCCAATAACACCTGTGCTGAGTCTACACCCAGAGCACCCTGAGCCTGAATCCCACCTGGACTTCAGCTGCTGTCCCCTGGGAGTCAGAGCCAGAACTGCCTGCACTCAGGGGGGCTGCCTTCACTTCACCCCCATTCCTGTTCGATCAGGCATTCCAGGTGTCACGACAGCTTGGTTGACAGCCACAAGCTGCTCCTGTTATCTGCTGTGAGTGGTTTGGACTTCCCTGGATCTTGATCAGTCCTGGAATAGAGCAGGAGTCGCTGGTGGGCTTCTCTCCCTGGGAGAGTTCTGTCCTCTTTCCTGCCGAACACCAGAGTCTAAGGCAAGGGACCATTTCCTTTGGCTGATAACAGCAAAACCTTTACTGAAATCTCCACACTTTAACATGATTCTATTTTTAACTCTATCTCCAATACATTTTTTCAACTTTTACTAGTTTTTCTCTCTTCTGCATGTTATAAAGATAGATCTGGGCATGGTGGTGCACGCCTGTAATCCCAGCACTTGGGAGGCTGAGGCAGGAGGATCACCTTGAGTTTTGGGGCCAGTTTGGGCTACATAGTGAGCTCAAGGCTAGTCTGAACTGTATAGTGAGACCCTGTCTCAAAAAATAAAAAAGTCAGAATTCACTTCTTTTCATATTCTTTTTGTTTGGTCTGGTTTTTTGGTTTTTTTCAAGACAGGGTCTCACTATGTAGTTCAGACTGGCCTTAAAGAAACCATTGACTTGGGCTGGGGATTTAGCTCAGTGGTTCCGCAGCCTGCCTTGCACGTGCAAGGACCCAAGTTCAATCCCCGGTACCAAAAAAAACCACAAACCATTGACTGAAGAAACACAATGATAAAAAGAACTGTGAAGAAATAAAATGGGTGGTTCTTCCAGATTTAACTGAGAGAATAAAACATAGACTTTGAAGTTTAAAGACAAATAACCTGACTTAGTTTCACTTAATATTTTTATTGTAATGGAACCAATACCATCACTACTTTCATTTGTATTTTATCAATTATAAAGACAAGTTTTCAATTGAAAAATAGTAATACAGATGTGCACAGGACGTAACCTGTCACTGTGTACTTAAGTGTTCACAGATATCTTTTTGACCCTCTGTACCACAGCGGTAAGCTCAGGTACCAGCTTGAAGTGCCCAGGCACTGGTTGGA